CAGGCTGGGCTTAGCAACCCAGTGTGCCTAAAAGACTTCTTTCCACATGATAGTAAAACCTTCTTCTTCTTTTTTTTTAAAACTATAAAAAGACACAGTTTTTTTTTTTTTAGAAGAGTTTTCTAAACTATTTCAGAAAATAGTATTGGCTTAGAAAATGGGCACACGACTTGAACAGACACTTCACCAAGGAAAAGATCTGGGCAGCCAACAAACATATGAAGAGTTGTTCACGATCACTAGCCATTAGAGATGCAATTCAAAACAACAATGAGATATCATCTCACACCAACAATAACAGCAAAGATAAAAAAAAATTTAAATGCTGGCGAGGATGCGTAGAAACTGGGACCCTCCTACATTGTTGGTGGGACTGCAAAATGGTCCAACCACTCTGGAAAGCAATATGGTGCTTCCTCAGAAGGTTGGAAGTAGATAGAAATACCTTATGATCCAGCAATTCCTCTACTTGGTATTTACCCACAAGAAATATGAGCCATAACATGAGTAGATGTACATACCAATGTTCATAGCAGCACTATTTATAATAGCAAAAAGATGGAGACAGCCTAAGTGCCCATCAACTGAAGAATGGATAAACAAATTGTGGTACATACACACAATGGAATACTATGCTGCCTTTAAGAACAACAAGGAAGCTGTAAGCTACTGCATAACATGGATGAACCTCAAGGACATTATGCTGAGTGAAATTAGTCACAAAGGGAGAAATACTGCATAGGACCATTATTGTAAAAGACTAAGAAAAAGAACCCACCCTAAAAGGGGAAAAAAAAATTATGTATATATTTGTTGATCACCAGGATGTGTGGAATTAGACGAGGGGAGGGTGGGAGGGGAAGATAAGAGCACAGGGTAGGGACTAGACACAGGATAGCTTGGATGCTGTGGGGGAGCGATGCGTAATACACAAGAAGTGGGAGGAGAATGGAAGAATAAGGCTGATGGGAGAATAGTTAGGCAGGTTTGCATGGGCTAAGTGGGAGAGGTAAATGATGATGTATGCACAGCCTTGGGACAGCAGAGCTCTGGGATACAGGGATTTGACACGGTTGGAATGGGTAAAAGGGAGAATAATGTTAGGATGCTTGGCTGTCTTTTGAATCCTAATTTCCCTTGCCTACCATTGTAAAATAGACACTGGAAGGGGAGAAAAGGGAATAGCCAGAAATATCACCATAGAAAGCTTGTAAGTCCGTCTTCTGCCTAAAGCTGGTTGGAATATCATAAAGGGGGCTAGAACTTGCCCAGTGAAAGAGGCTTCCTGTGGAACCTTTACATTGCATAAGACCATAGGTGGAATCCAGAACCCAATCCAGAATCGTCTGAGGTAGGAAATTTCTCCTGGAAAGGACGAGTGGACCAACCTGGAGTGGCTAGAAGAACAGAAGATACTTCGTGAAAGAAAGACCGGCAGGAAAAATCCGAAACAATAACATCATCTGATTGATTGCTACAAGAACAAGTAAGCTATTAGCTCAGGAGCCATAAGGGCAAGTGGTCAGGTTTCCTCAGTGCAGACTAAGACTCAAGGGGAATACATGAGCAGGCATGTGCTTTGGGTGGTGACCACGTTGGTTACTGATAAGGGGAAGAGGGTGAAAAAACAGCAATGAAGTTGCGAGCTAAGTCCATCCACATTCAATAGACCCCTGTGAACTTGGGTGGAGACCTGGATGGCCAACAGTAGAGAAATACCCGGGACTCCTGTCCCTAGAGGAAGTGACATGGCCACAGAGGACTAGAGCGGAGAGTGAAACGTCCAGCTGATATGAAGTGGAAAAAAACAAAAAAAAGCAGGCTGATACAATTTGATGAATTTTACCTGTACTTATGGATGTAGTACAGAGTTCTGGTAGCATAGTGGTTACGAATCGGGCTGTGAACCGCAAGGTCAGCAGTTTGAAACTACCAGCTGTTTTGTGGGAGAAAGATGAGGCTTTCTGCTCCTGAAAAGATTTACAACGTCGGAAACCCTGTTCAGGGTCGCTATGAGTCGGAACCGACTCCACGGCACATAGCAACAAAACAATGGATGTAGTAGCTCAAAACAGGGAACAAATCTTTACAGCGAGGGTCACTCCCAACCCCTCGGTACACAGGGTTGACAGGGATGGGCAACTTAGACATTGGCTACCCAAAATGGGGTGCCTATAAAGGCAAGACGTGACTGGCTTATAAGCTTTCAAGAGGGAGCCTAGTTCCAGACGGGGTGGGGAAAGGTAGAATCTCCACTGAATAGTTTTCGATCTGTTGGGACTGGGCTGGTGAAAGGAAATAGGGATAAGACTCTAGTGGCACAATAGTGAATAATTGCCTTCAGGACTGACTGTGAGGGTAGGAAATGTAGAGGTAGATGTTTTTTGACAAAAGGAGGAGAGTGATTGATTTTGCAGCCCAGGAGCGGAGGTCCCTGGGACCGTCAAGTGAGAAGAGCGGAGAGCGGGACCCTACCCAGAGATGCAGTGACGCCAGGAATGGAGACAGAGAGGATGACGTGGACAGATGGAGTGGCTGGGTACACTGAACTCAGGGAGAGAGAGGGACTGTGTTTTGATGGTCAGGGGGCAGGCCTGTGGGGTGTACCTTTTGGTTATTTGATGATGCATGGAGGGGATTGTAACCATTGTAATGAAACGAAATACGATGGGGTGAATGTAAAACTGATGTTCTCCCATGTAAACCTCACAATAAAAACTTAAAAAAAAAAAAAAAAAGTATTGGCAATAGGAACACCTGTAGGAAATTTAATTTTGGCTGGCATTAAAAGTAGATAGTTGACCCAGTAACGGGTTTCAGAACTAGTGTGGTGATCAAGGGTAGTGCTGATGTCATCCACATCAGAGGGAAGCTCGGTGATTCCCTGTAATCTTGATCACTGCAAATTGGATGATAGCGTTATATGCAAAGCCTGTTTCTTAAAGTCTCCAAGGTCTTATGGGTGCTTTGATTCTGTGTCCCTGCCCTTGGAACCTGTAGAGATAAGAGCTTCCTGTTTGTGTGACAAAGGATTTTACTGGTAGAATGACTTGTTACCTAAGAACTTTGTCCTTTAATTTTGAGAATTTTCTAATTTTCTCGGAAGTGGTGCAGTTAGATACTTTAAGTCTCTTGGAGGGCTGTTGCAGATCGCTGGCAGTTATATTGATGCCGATATAACTATGATGCTGTTGTTGTTTTTGGAAGTGCTGTCAAGTTAGTTCTGACTCAGAGTGACCCTATATAGATAGGGTTTCCGAGGAGCAGCTGGTGGGTTTGAACTGCCGACCTTGTGGTTTGAAGTCTAGTGGTGATCTTACAGTATCACCCATATAACAGGAGACCAACAGCAGGGATGGAGCAGAAGGGCTGGGATTGTGAGATATCTGGGAGTAGAGTTCAAATCTATGGGTGATGCACATAGTTAAGCACTTGGTGGTTTGTGTCCTTCCAGAAGTACCTAGGAAGAAAGACCTGGCTATCTACAGAAAAAGAAAGCAGCCATTGAAAACCTTGTGGAGCACAGTTCTAATGACGTATGTGTGGTCGCCATGAGTTGGAATCCACTCAAAGGCAGAGCTGTTTTGAGAGTAAACGTAATACAAGTTGATCATTGATTCTGAGTGAGAGTAACCTAGGATAGGTCTTAAATTTTTCACTTCAAGTAGAAATTAGTGGTCTTAATCACCAAAATAGAGAGAAGAGCAGACTTGGAGAAAATGTTGAGCTCTGTCTGCCTTTATCATGCTGAGCTTACAGCTCTAGGAAACACCCTAAGGTTGATGTCTAATGAGAAGGTAAAGACTGGGCCTGGAACTTGGGAGGGAGGTTAGTGGGGGACTGTAGATGTGAATATGGATGATTGTTTCCTGGGGAGAGCATTTGTGGGGAACAGAGGAGAGCTCAGGAAAGCATACATGTTTTATGTACATGGAAGACAAGGAGCCCTCAAAGTGGGGGAGCAGCAAAGAGAATTGCCACCTGAAGCGGCTGAGGGAGACTTTCAAGAAGGACATAGTCATGGTGCTGCCCAACCTCAGGTCTGAGAAGAGCTCAGATGTGGTGGCAGTGAGAAGAAGGCTTTGGTACCTGGTAGGCATCCAGTTCCAGTGGTCTGGTGATGTGGGGTGGAGTGAGGAGGTAGACTGAAATAAAAGGTAGGAAAAAGAGCTAGTTTGCAGTTTTGTGGGATTATTGTATGGCCACTTTTTTTTTAGTGTTTTATTGTGAATTATATGATAGTTTATATGGGAGAACATTAGTTTTATATTCATTCTATCGTACATCGTATCATTGCCATGGTTATAATCCCCTCCATGCATCATCAACCAACCAAAGGGTATACCCTGCAAGCCTGCCCCCTACACTATTCTTCCCCACCCCCAAGTCTTCAATACACAGTCGCTCTCCCTCTCTGTCCCCAGCTGCTCCATCGCTCCACGTCATTGTGTCTGCCTCCATCTCAGGCATCACTGCTTCTCTGGGTAGGGTCCTGCTCTCGGCTCTTCTCTGTTGATGGTCCTAGGGATGTATGGCCACTTTTATATGTCATCTGTTTAATTATTTTATTTTTCTGAAGTAGCCACTTTAAAAGGAGGACTCCTCTATAGGGCTGAGGTCCCCTGTTCTATAGAATAGCAAATGACATCTATGTGCTTGGGGTGAATTGGGATTTGGAAAGCTTAATGAAAAGTCAGTAGAATCGATTCCAGTTGTATTTACCAGTGTGAGAGATTAAACCTTTGAAGAAGTGCTGTGTTCTTAATCTCCTCTGGGGTGTGCTGTACCTGGAACACAGCATCACTGAACTGAGAGCAGACCACAGAGAGCTTATTTGGCCAACTTTGGGAGATGAGTGCTTAAACAAGTAAATAGGCATCACGTCTTGTGGTGCTGAGATGAACGAGGATGACTTTGAGTAAAACCAAAACAAGACCGCATGAGCAGTCAGTGATGTGTGCAGTGTTTAATTGTTCCTGTTTGGGTATTTGTCTCTGTAGGCCTGTCAACTACTTGGTCCCAGAATTCCAGATCCCAGCACCACAGGAGAAGCTCATGCTCCCGACATGAAGATCGAAAGCCTTCGGAGGTATTTCCTGAGCACGTGTGTGATTGCATGTCATATACATGCGTGCATGAGCACATACTACTGAAACACTCACCTGGCTTATTGATGTCTATCCTTACACTCTTGGGCAAAGTTCTGAACCTCTTTCTTCTCAGTTTCCAAGTCTTTATGATGGGAATAACACGGGTGTGTACCTTAGGAATCTTGTGAGGATTAAGTGGGTTAATACATATAGGCTAAGATACACAAAACATGAGAGTAATATCTGACATATAAAAAGTGTTCAGTAAATGTTAGCTTTTGTTAATTATGGAGTCCTGGTGTGGTGCTGTAGGCTAAGCACTGAACTGCTAACCACAAGGTCAGTGGTTCAAACCCACCAGCTACTCCTTTGAAACCCTATACAGGGTAGCTATGAGTCGGAATCGACTCAACGGCACTTAACAACAACAACATTATTAATTATATTCTTTTCTTCTTTTCTGTTCCATCTTTGCTGGCTCCCAACAACTTTTCCTCTGGCCAGGAGATCAGCGAGTTCAGCTGCTGCCAGTCACTGCCAGCCTCAAGTTAGTTTTAGCCATGCATTTGTGGCTTATTTGGCAACAACCCAATGTTCTGGGAATTTTGTTTTGGGGGTTATGCTTAAGGCTTTCCCCCCTTCTTTCCCAATTTGTTTTTCATCTTATGCACTCCCTTTCTCCCCCACATTTTGTTGTTATTTATTTACCTATTCTCTACTTCTCTCTCTCTCAATTGTTTTTAAGTGTATTCCTTTCTGCTGACCTTTTGTTGATGAATACTGAGATTTATTTGCTCTTTAAGTCTTTGCTGAGTTCTGAGGATTTAAATCAGAGAAGAAAGTGCGTTTCAGTGTATTACATGTCTAAGTGAGGAGGGTATAGGCTAGAAGGGTTTCTGCTAAATGCCTTGGTTTTGTGCTGCTACTTAAGGGGGTGCCTTCAAAGGCATCTTTCTCCTGTGGTAGTGGAGCTGGGGCAGGCCTCCATGGTTTCAGGCTGCAATGGGCACTGAGGAGGGAGCACTTACTTAGCTGTGGAATTGCGTCCTGCATGAGGAGGCAGCTGGCATCCCTTAGAATGACAGAAAGCCATCCAGGAGACACACAAACCTTAGATCAGATGCTCATGGGAAGGTGGCTTTCCTATCACCTTGATTTATTCCAGGCTTTTTGTCCTTTTGAACCCACTATGGTGCTTCTTTTTCCTGGCATTAGAGTGTCTTTGCTGCTTTTTTAAAATTACTACTGTAAGTTGCTGTGTTGGCTCCAGAATAGTGTGATGTTTGCACTGCACTTCCATTATTTCAGTGCAGGGACATAGGGCTGCTCTGACAAGGAGCTGTCATGTAGTGTGATGAGCACCGGTGCCCAGGGGTGTAGTCGGAGCCACCCTACTGGTGCCTGCTGGAAGCAAGAATGGGCCCAGCAGCTCAGATGGCATACTGGCCTTATCCCTGATAGGTTTCTGAGTTCAGCCCGGAGTTCAAAGTACTTTAATACTTAGAACACTAATATTGAACTCTGCCAGGGCCTGGGGAACTTAGGTTCACTTGAGGGCACCTGTTTGAATCCGTGACCAATTCCTCCTGACCCTTTGAGTAAAGATTCGGGGTGGACTCAGTGCTGTTTTTTTTTGTCACCTTTCTTCAGCTTGATTTTCCTTCTTTGGCAAACTGCTGTTTATTTTTCACTTTTAAGACTTGGCTGGAATATCGTTTTAACTGATTGACTTACGTACGGGAGATGTAGATTTGTGACTTAGGTTTGCAAGACCTTATCTTTGCTCGGGTTCAGGGAGGGGGTGGCCCTCAAGTTAAAGAGGGCACCTGTTGCAGGGAACCTGATCTTCCTCGTGACTGTGGAAGGTAGATGGCCAGGTTCTTGATTGTTGTTTGACTTTAGAAATGGGGAGTGGCATGTTGGTGAACAGCCGGTGTCAGAAATGGCAGGCTGAAGAAACGACCTTCTCATTCAGACAGTGCCTCAGACTTAATTATGGTGAAGTTTATTAAAGTAATCACTATCCTGAAAAGTCACCAGGAAAAACAAATATGGACCCATTAGCCGGCATATAATGTAACTGTACTTAGCAGTACAAGAAAGAACTCCCTGTCCTGAGAAGAGAGAGTTCAGCATTGTGACTTGTGTAAATAGAGTGTGGCTTACAGATGCAGGCTTGCTCTGTGCCAAACACAACTAATGTTGGTGCCAATGCCAAGGTCAGAGCTTCCTCATGTAGCCCAGAGACATGAGTGGGCTGAGGACAGGCTGGAGAGGGAGGCGGGTGTGCAGCCAGCTGTGGATGGGGCTGTGCTTGCCTGTGTCTGCCTGGGCTCAGGCCTGGTTTTCCGTGGATGCCACAGGCTGAGTCTACAGAGGGGCCAGCGTGGGGAGGGACACTTTCCTGTGGTTTCTTCTTTTGGTCTCAGATGGGAATTGAACTCTCTTGGCAGAGGAGTATGTTTGAGTCTTGTGGATCTGTTTGATTTTGGCAGGGTGGGGAGAGGGTGCTGACTTACTTTCTTTTTCTTACTATCTTCTCTCCCCACAAATACCGCTTCCTGCCTAGAAGTTATGTCAGGTGAAAGTGTGTAAAAACCCTCTTTGCCAGCCTGTCCTCTGATTTGGCTCTCTAGCTGTCTGTTGTTGCTTCTTTTCCAGATTTTTCCAGGCCAGCACTTCTGCCTGACACTTGCCAACTGGGACCTTGACCTCATCAGCCCCAGTGCCCTGGGAGGCGGGGTGGGGGAGGCAGTTGGAAGTTTGAGTAAATGTTGAACTGAGCCAATGATAGAGGAGGCGGCACTCATAGTTATAGGAAATTTTGGTTTGAAGTTGTTACATAGTTGGTGGCGTTTCCTTTTTAAACATTTTCCAGAAGAGCCTGCTTGCATGTGATACCTATCTGAGGATTTTCAGGTTCATATTTTCAGTAGTCCCCTTGGAGACTTGAGGGTTCTTAGAAGTTTTTCAGAAAAACACTCTCGGTAGGTTTTGTTGCTGTAGTTGTTGGTCTTGTTGTAGACACTACTTTGTCTAATTGACTTTGAGGAAAGGAATTAGGAGGGTAGTGATCTATTGCTGCCACCCCCTGAGTCTGAGTGAGGTAAAAGGTGTGTCAGGCTAAGTCTTTTCCTCTAATAGGTCAGACGTGTTTTATGTTGATACAGTGACCTTGTTACGCGGCAGCTCCATGGTTACCTTGTTCTGTATCAAATGTCAGTGTCTCTTTCTCTCCCTTTTCAGGTGTTTAGGACAGACCTGATCACCGCTATGAAGTTGCATGACTCCTACCAGCTGAACCCGGATGAGTACTATGTGTTGGCAGATCCCTGGAGGCAGGAGTGGGAGAAAGGGGTCCAGGTGCCGGTGAGCCCCGGGACCATCCCTCAGCCTGTGGCCAGGTAGAAGATCCCCCAAGGAGAGAAGTTCTAGTCCTACTCTCCCCCGCCCCTTGCTCCTTGCTTTTTATCCCTCACAGCCAGGGCAGGTAAATATTGCCTGAGAAGAAGCAATTTTTGAGTTAGCAGTAAAATAATATGAGCTCTCAAGTGGAGATGCACACCTCAAGCTAAAAGGTGGTGATTCTGAGGGCTGGGCACCTCCAAATGTAACTTTTGGGAAGGTGCTGGTCTTTTAAGAGAAGAGGGCAAGCAAGTTCTAAGACATTCTGGGAAGGGACTGGATGGGGGATGATTGCACAGCTACTTCCTCCTCTTCCTGTATTTGCTTCCTTTCCCGGACGGATTTTAATTTAGAGAGGGGTTCTACTGGAGAAGTGTCTTAGAATCAGGACAGGTGTGTGTGGCGTCTTGACTTCTCCAGTGGGTGCCTCCACCTTTGGAGAAACACAGTTGTGAAGATGCCCACTTGGAGAGGGTTATGCCCATCTATGGATGGACTTTGTAAGTTTTTGAAGTGCTTCCTCTGTATTTACTTAAAAGTCACTGTCCCATGAAGAGTCTGGAGAGCCAGGTCCTTGCTGACTGCCCTCAGAATATGGCTGGAGCTGGTTTGCTCATTTCTTCACCATCCAGCTATGCTGGCTTGTGGAAAAGGAGTGAGCGCCCTCTGTGCCCAGCTGGTACCTGGTCTCTGGTGTGTTGTTGGATGCCTACTTTGTGATCTCTCATCATGCTGAATATGGACTGAATTTACTTCTCCACTGTCATTCCCTTTATTCTTCAGGCACTTGAGATGACTGATTTTTGAATGTTGTCATGTTGCTGTGAGGAATTTATCCAATGGTGAAAAATGTCCATATGTCAGTATAGTCCATCATTAACACACCGGCATAAATGACCAATCAGAAGCACCAGGATGGTCTCTGTAGGTTAGAATCCTGTCAAGAGAGGGGGCTTTTTAACTGAACTCCTAAGTATAAACAACCTCAGTCTCTATATGAGCTTTAGTACCTGCTGTGGCCCTGACTGGTGGCCCTGATGCAGGAATTATTTGTTAAATCATTTAGTTTCAATTAGGATTCCAGAAAAAAAGACAATGAACACAATTCATGGAAGTTTTCAACTAAAGCCCTGCTCTTGGTTGAGTAGAAGAAACAACATCTTCAGTTTGCCCCTCTCAGTGTAAATACAAATCATTGTTATTGTAAGTGACAGAAATACTTTGACAGACGCTTTGGGCATCTTGTTGATGTGAACACACACAGAGATATGGATGAACATTGTGGTCACGTGGGCCCTTGATTTTGAGGATTTGGAAGAGGGGTCTTCATTTTATGACAAGAGGGATTTGAACTTGTCAGGTGCATTCGTTGGTTTCGAGTGGGGTGAGGTGGGAGACTCTTCTCTGGGTGTTTGCAGGCCAGAGAAGAGCACAGCGGTCTAAAGAAAGCATGTGCCTGTCTCCATGAAACTTGTGCACTGAGTCCTGGCACCATAGTTTATATTGGGTGAGTCCCCAACTTGGCTAGGACTGATTTCTTCGATGTCTTAGTAGTGGCCAAGGCCATTTCTTTCCCTCTTGAAGACCAGTGCTGGCAGACTTCTTGCCATAGTTCCCCAGAGCCCTGAGAATACCCCTGCTTGTGGCTCCATGGCTGCTCTTGCCTCCTTCGATGTTCTCTACAAAGTTCAGTGTTGTCAAGTCATCTGATTCTAATGGCTTCCAGCAGGGACAGGCGAATCTGACTAATGGCAAGTGACGTACTGGGTAACCCTTGACACTTAAGAGTCTTTTTTTTTTTTTTGGTGTTGCCAGCAGACCAGAGCAACTGCTGCCATAGAGAATGCAGGGCACAGTAGTGTCTGAGGAAACCAAGAGGTACAAGCAGCTGGCTTTGAAGACTTTTGCAGTGTTTTCACTTATATCTATTTCCATTTTAGGGGGTGTTAACTACTTCTAGTGAGAGTTTTATTAGCAGTGATGTTAAAGCTTTAAACTTTCGCTTTTTATTAACTTGTGCTATATCCATGGTGGCTTTAAGGGTTAGAGGAGGAAACTGCACCTGGGGCCGTCTCACAAACTTCCTTTTATGTGGCAGAAAGGGTAACCTGGCTGCCTTGTGTTCTTGTGAAGTAGGGTCGTGTCTGAAGAGAAATCCCTCATGTTCATCAGGCCCAAGAAATACATCGTCTCTTCAGGCTCTGAGCCTCCGGAGTTGGGTTATGTGGACATCCGGACACTGGCCGACAGTGTTTGTCGCTATGACCTCAATGACATGGATGCTGCGTGGCTGGAGCTGACCAATGAAGAATTTAAAGAGATGGGTGAGAGACTCCTTATTTTTTTAACTAATGCTGAATAAGAAGCCTTGGTGCTGTGGATTAGGCGCTAGGCTGCTAACCTCAGGGTCAGTGGTACAAACCCACAAGATGCTCCACAGGAGAAAGATGAGGCTGTATACTCCTGTAGAAACCCCATATAGGTTCTCTGTGAGTCAGTGGGTTTGGTTGGTTGTTTGTTTTTGTTTTTGTTTTTTAATTAAGTAGAGAAGAATTTAAGACATATTAAAAAAACCAAACATAATGCCAACTGATGGGAACCCTGTGTATTACAGATGGGAACCCTGTAGCACTGTGCTCCATAGGACTTTCTTGGGTGTAATATTTATGGAGGAGTCCTGGTGCAGAGCTGTAGGATAAGCACTGGACTGCTAACCATAAGATTGGTGGTTCAAACCCACCAGCTGCTCCTCAGAAACTCGATAGAGGGTCGCTATGGGTCGGTACTGACTTGATGGCACTTCACAACAGCAACATCAGTTTTTATGGAAGTAGATCACCACAGCTTTCTTCAGTGGTGTCTCCAGATGGGTTTGAACCACCGACGACTTTCAAACCATTTGTGTACCCAGGGGCCTATTTAGGTATGTTGGTGAGTAGTGAATGTTTTTCATTGCTAGGTGAAACCAGCTCTGTCATTACTTCAGGTAGTCTCAGAATGGGCTCTTTTTGAGAGTTCAGCTTTTCTGAAGATGGCAGATGTGTTGAGATAGTCTCAGAGCCTGAGTGGCTCACCAGACAGGAGTGGTGAGACTGAGGAGGCTTGTTTACTTCGGGCCTGGGATTGAAGCAGGGCTCCCAGCGGCTCAGATGCCATGGACTTTCCATCCCCACTCTGACCTAAGCCCTCACCCATTGACCTTGAGGAACTGCCATCCAGAGAAATTGACTCCGCTAGGTCGCAGAAGGGTCTGGGCCACACAATTTCCTGCTCTCATGTTTTGCTTTTTTTCTACAACAGCTTTGATCAGCTGTTTCTCAAAATGAACTCCACTCTAGCCCAATTCACTCTTTTCCAAACTAGCTGTGTTTTCCCTTTGGTGATTTTCATTATGTCCTCTTCCAAACCTGGTTTGCTTTTCTCAGTAACCTGGCTATCTCTGCCCTGGCTTTCCATCAGGGATGCTTTACCTGAGCTGAGTACCCTGCCCATCATGATCTCTTTTCTGTAAGTGATTCATTTTGTGTATGTTGAAGTCAGAGCACTTCAATCCTTTGCATCTCATTGTGTGGAGAACAGGATGGCACCATGGGTCTTCTATTATATGCCAATTCTAAGTGTTATGCTGAGAATGACTATGAGATCAAATCTGCACTCAATGTGAAAGACTAAGGATTAGTAAGCACTGTGTCCTGTGGGTCCAGGGTGGGGAAGTCATGGTGCAGACTGTTGTTTGAAATTAAAAAACAAACATGTGTGTTAGAGTAGAACTATGTTCCATAAGGTTTTTTTTTTTAATGTTTTATTGTGAAGTATATGATAGTTTACATGGGAGAACATTAGTTTTACATTTATTCTGTCGTTTCGTTGCCATGGTTACAATTCCCTCCATGCA